GCGTCTTGCCACACTTGCGGTAGGACAGGGTCGACGCCATCATTCGGAGCTTCCACGAAGGCTTACAATTAGGCAAATTCCGTAACATGTCAAAATTAACAGTAAAAAAAGTCGGAGCAAAAGCTCCAGTTTTGAGGAAGTTACGATCGAAAAAGTGAAAACGATTACTTCATGCACGATACTGTATGTAGAAGAACAGCAAATGCTGTAATGCTGTTTTATCTATTTCACCCCTTTGCAAAATTTTCTACAAAATCGGCGCATTTCCGATACATCTGCTTCAGAACGCGATCTCCTTAATCTTCTCAACTCTCTTCAAACTAACTTAACTTATGTCAATCCTAAATAATAACAGGACGCCACTCTCAAAAACCACAAATATTCCCTGTCTGGTTTTTCCAGACGCACGATTGACTGTGGTTCCATCCACTATCGGATCGATGGGTAGTGATGTTGCATTGGCAACATTAACCGATCGGAGTTTTTGTTTTTTATTGTGAAATAAACTTGGGAATAAGCTGGAAAAGTAAAACTTCTTGGACACTCTGATATTTTGAGCTGCCGGGGTGCTCAAATCAGTAGATTCTGTGTGAACTCGCTGAATGGAAAAGCGTTAAAATTAAGCGCTTACTCCAATACTGAAATATAAATGACTTGAGTTCGTTCGAATTAAGGTTCTAGGGAAATACTCCCAATGTGATGCTTCAAAAGAGCAATCGAGCATACGAGACAATGTTTATTGTGACGTTGATATAGTACACATTTTACGAAAAGTCAGCAAGAGGTCAGCGATCATCGCAAGCAACTAATTGAGGCCACCCCTTAGGCAGGTCGGAGGAGGGCGAGGCACATTACAATAACCCCTTAATTGGCTTACCGTATACAGCTATATTCTAAGTTCACACACCCTCGGCTCGGGTGAGCATCTTCCATTGAATTGTTACTAGCAGTAGTCGTTACTATGTTGTATTGCAGTTATCGAATTGCTGTTGACTGCCCGGTTAGTACGTTCGTATAGCTTTATGCTCTAAGAATTAGCGTACGTATGTTATGCTTGATTTGTATGTTTAGGTCTGAAGAAGCTGTTAGCACAGCGAAAGCTTACCAATAAAGTATTTTGAATGAGTCCTCATCACTGATTTAGCACCGTCGCACTACTTTCCTTCATAACTCCATTCGGAAAATCGTTTGGCAGATTTGGGAAGCAGATTCGAGATCAGCGTCCAAAAACGCAACCCAACGGTGTAGGTCTCTTTACATATGGTCACTTCGATCAATCATCCGTTCCTGGTAAGATAGCACCTTACTTTCAACGCAAAGGACGCTTGCATCCGAAGCTCACATCGAAGATCTGATGATGCAAGCCAGGAAGATCAAGTACGACGTCATCGGACTGACCGAGACGAGAAGGCACCGCCCGCTACACGCCGTTTTCGATACTGGAGAAGAACTGTTCCTTGGAACATGCGACAGCAGAGGCGTTGGCGGTGTGGGTGTCCTCGTCAACACGCACTTGGCCATAAACATCGATTCGTACGAAAGCCTTACGACCCGAATCGGACGTTTGAGATTGAGAAGATGTGGTTCAACTCCTGCTTTGACAATCTTCGTCGCCTACGCACCAACATCGAGCTACGACGAGGAGGAACACGAAGCATTTTATATGGAATTGGAGAAGTTCTACAAGGAAGATCATACCTTCTTCAAGGTCATCGTCGGCGACTTCAACGCCAAGATTGGCCCGAGAAGAACGGCTGAAGAACTTCACATCGGTACTCACGGAATGGATTGGAATGAGCAGGGCGAAAGACTGTCTGAGTTTATCATGTCGACCAACACCATCCATGGTAACTCGCAGTTCCAAAAGCCCTCTCACCTTCGTTGGACTTGGGAGTCACCTGATGGACAGTTCCATAACGAGATAGACCACATCATCTTCAATCGAAGGTTTTGCCTGACCGACGTCGCTGTTGTTCCGAAGTTCTACACGGGATCGGACCATCGTCTCCTCCGCGCAAAGTTCCACTTTTCGATGCGTGTTGAGAGAGCCTCGAAGTTCAGGAAGCGAAGCCCCAGGACAGTCATCAACTGGGATCACTTCACTTCTCTTGTCAGCTTATGGGAGGATTCCGTTATCGAGAACATCGACGAGGAATATCATCGGCTCGTTGAACACCTTCACGAGAGTGGCAGGAAGGCAGAGAGTTTGCAAGTCACCAAAGGACGTCTGTCTACGGAAACTCTCGAGCTGATACGCCAACGTGGAGCCGCACGAGCTGCAGGCAATCACCAACTCACGTCCGAGCTTGCGAAGCTATGCAGAGAGGCGATAAAGGAAGATCTCAAGGAGCGAAGAGCAGCAGTATTAGCTGAAGCAGCAGAGGCTGGGAGGAGCATCCGCAATGCCCGCCGAAGCTTTGCCAGCTACAAGACCAAGATGACCTGCCTCCGACGTCCGGATGGAACAGTTACTGCATCCCGAAGGGCAATGGAGAAAGTCATCCACGACTTCTACTCGGATCTCTTCGATAGCCATGTCCATCTGCCACTTATCAACTGCAACAGGATGGATACGTCGTCCCCTCAGTTCTCTCTTCCGAAGTCCGACACGCCATCCGGTGGTCCAGGATGGAACAGTTAGAAGTTAATAAGTGAAGTCCGACACGCCATCAAGTCGGTGAAGAATCGTACAGCACCCGGTCTCGACAGGGTCAAACCGGAACATCTGAAGAATGCGCCGCCAGTTATCATCAAAACTCTGGCTCGACTCTTCACGCGCTACCTGTCGGAATGCAAGGTACCCACTCCGTGGAAAACCAGCAGGACCGTGTTGCTGTACAAGAAGGGAGACCTGGACGACATTTGGCAATCGCCCAATCTGCCTGCCTGTCGTGTCATCTTATAAACTATTCACTCAAACTCGAATTAGGTTCATCCTCCACATGAATCGCAGCAATACTGGATGAAGGACAGCCATGCGAGCAAGCAGGGTTTCGAAGAGGGTTCAGCACGATCGACCATATCCACACGGTTACAAGACTCATTGAAGTTTCACGAGAGTACAAGATGCCGCTTTGTCTCACGTTCATCGACTTGAAGAAGGCCTTCGACTCTGTGGAGACAGAAGCGGTCATCGAAGCCTTGGGCAACCAGGGCGTCCCTACTCAGTACATCAAGATTCTTCGTGAGCTCTACAGCAACTTTACGACCAGAATCTCACCATTCTACAAGGAGGTCATCATCGACGTCAAGAGAGGGGTTCGACAGGGCGACACCATCTCGCCCAAACTCTTCAGCGCCGCTCTCGAGAACGTCATGCGTCAACTGGAATGGGAAGACATGGGAGTGACGCCACTGATGAGCCCACTATCGCGCCGGCAACTACACCACCTTCGTTTTGCTGACGACATCGTTCTTATAACGCCGAACATCGAGCAAGCGGAGCGAATGCTGGCTGATTTCGACTGCGCCTGTGGTAAGGTTGGTCTACAGCTGAACCTAACGAAGACGATGTTTATGAGAAACGGATTGGTTTCTGATGCCCCATTCACGCTCAACGGAACGAACATCACCGAATGCTCCAGCTACGTGTACCTAGGTCGGGAAATCAATATGATGAACGATCTAGCTCCAGAGCTGAGCAGGAGGAAACGAGCGGCTTGGGGAGCGTATAAGAACATCGAGGGAGTAGTGAAGAAGACGAAGAACATCCGGCTCCGTGCCCACCTCTTCGATTCCGCTGTCCTTCCTGCCCTAACCTACGCCTCAGAGACTTGGACTCTGCGCAGGCAGGACGAGCATGCGCGGTCAGCGTTATCCAACGCGCTGTCGAGAGGACGATGCTAGGAGTAACCCTATACACGCAAGTGCAGAGGGGAATCCGGAGTTCCGAACTACGCCAACGATCGAAGATCAGGGACGCTGCCGTTTTCGCCAAGGAATCGAAGATAAGGTGGGCCGGACACGTCATGCGATTTTGCGATGACCGTTGGACCAGAGCGGTTACCGACTGGATCCCTCGGGACGTCAAACGAACACCTGGACGACCGCCGGCCCGATGGTCAGACTTCTTCACGAAAGCTCTGAACGAAAGGAATGAAGGACTTCGTGTCCCTCGAGCGAGGAGGGTCCACTGGACAACTCTTGCACGCGACAGGGACGAATGGAGACGTTGCTGGCGCCCGCTCGAGCAATTCGATGATCAACGGGACGACAGGTGATACAGGTGAACCTTACCAAGACGCGTCTCACTGTCGGCGAATCTTGGTAGAGTACAGGAAGGAGAGGAGGGAGGGGGCAAAAAAAAAACAGACCTCATGCCCATGTTACTCGTCAACGATTTTTATCGCACAGATTGTCGCTGTTGACCGAGTTCTGACAGCAACAACTCCCAAAATTCCTCTATATCAGTAGAAGTGGCCCTCCTTCACTGCCCTCACCGTCTTCAGAATATGACGTCATCTGTCACCGTCGTCAGAGCTCAAGGAGGTCTACCGTAACTGCTTCAGCCTGAAGCTCTTACGCAATTTCGTGAATCGATTCCAATGTTAGATAGTTTTCAAGAGTCATTAGCATTGACAGTGTAGGCCCCCTCCTCACCAGCATTCCCGAAAACGTCGTGTTCACGATCCAAGATCGTCCAGGACACCACTCAGCTCGCCCGTGCACCATGTTTCGTTTCGAATTTTGTTTGGGAGCGTTTGGCTTGAATTCAACAAGTCGTGAATGATTCCGTTTCGAATGTAAAGAGAAAGTGTCCTGTTTGGTTGCCCCTCCCCTGTACATTACTTATCGAGACCTTGTATTGTATCGAATTTTGATCAACTGAACAGACAAGCTGACCTATCTACTGATTTATACATATGTGAAAGCGTAAATCTGTACAACAATATGAAAGCCACATGTTTCAATCAAAATAAAAAATTCATGGTCTTTCCTTGCAGCAATATATTAGTGAAACGATAAATAGCATTTGATTTGTTAAACGAATTTGTGAGGCATCAGGGCGGTACTGCCAATTTCTCCTTGGATTTTAATAGAGCAGCCTGCTGTTGACACCGTGAGTAGGCGAGATTCAATGTTTCGGTAACGTATAGCGTCAGGTCTCGGAATGAGTCGCAGAATTCGGTTTTCTCTTCGGGTTTCTCGAAGTTGAGTTTGTCCATCAACTGAAACTTGGTAATGAAAATAATTTAGACGAGCACAGAAAAGCACAATCAACACAAACCAGTATGAACACTAGAACTTGTTCAAACGGCGAATTCAAGTAAAACAGGAGATAGATGTCTATGAAACCTAGTGAGTGGCATGTGCAACTAGAAGGGAAGGCTTGCGTAAAAGCGCGTTTTGAGGCTTTGTGCTTTGTATTATGTAGTGATATAGTCTCATGTGGTTTTACGGGTACAGACTTGGTCAGCTTTGAACTTGGGTTTTGTCTTAATACGTTGACGACGAGCACATTTTTGCTTTGCGCACCCATGGAACGAGGCGTTTTCTGCAGGCCAATCGTCAGCAAGTATATGGCAAAATTCATTTTTTACTTCTTGAAATCTCGATATTTTACCAAACGCCCATGGCTGGAAGACTCCGAACACATTTAGAACCAAACGTTGTTACTACTGAATTTTCGATGGAAGTTCAGTGACATCGTCGGGCATTCCTGAACCTTAAGAGGAGATGAGCATAAAAGGCGGGATTTTAATTAATTATAGGCTTTGATTTTAAAGATACTAGGTAGGTAGGCATTCTAATCACAGAAATCTAGAATCTTCCACGAATTTTCGCAGCGAAAAGCTCTGCATGTGTAACCGAAAAGCGCCTCTAACTTGCTGTTATCTTGTTTTTTTATAATAAATCAAGGTGGGAAAATTGATACAAACGAGTGATTTCATAATGAAACGAATTGCTCGAGAAAAAGTCACGGCACTGAGGGACTAAATTAGTACGCCCACAAGTGACGCTGACCATTGAAAGAATTTCAACTTCAAAAGGCTACAAATGGGCATTTTAATACTAGTGACTTCATGATAAAAGGACGATATGAACATTTGCAATGACACTTCCACTTTGCTAATTGTAGGAACTTTGTTGTTGTAATACTATTTGCAGTGCATTTCTGCAGTTGAGAATCCACATTTAAGAGGAAGAAGTTTCTCCAATTAAACAGATCATCGGTCGCAGCCGTGTACAGCAACTCAGGATACTGAAGTGTTTATTGAAATAAAAAAGTCGCGGGTCACATTTAAGTTCCCTTCTTTACATGCTCGGTCACCACTACCGCAGGGTGAATAACGGTCGAGGAATTCCTCGACCATCGCTCTCTGCTGTGCGAGAGTAGAGCCGATAGTGAATGTACGCGCGGAGAGCACAGACGGCTCGCGGGTGGCGAGAGTGAATATCCGCGCGCGAGAACGTAAAGGATCAGGCGAAAATCCTCGACGTGCCGTTGAGGAATCCTCAAGCAATATTCACCTTGCCGCCAACATTTAAGATGGATCTCTGAGTAAATAACGCATAATCCTGTTCCAGTGAGTTGTAGAGAAAGTCCTGCGAACTTTGTGCAATTTTGTAACTTCAGAATCTTCTCGAAATCAAGCCATATCTTGAGTTTTTTTTTACATCAAAGGTTTCTAAAAAGCCACACTGGTTGAGTCGTTGCAGCTAGCATCTATGCTGCGGAAGATCATTCACAAGGCAAGAGCAAAGCGATGGTTCGAGGGCTTTGCAACCGGGGATATTTCATGAGAAGGGAAGATGCAAGAGAAGCTCAGTTCCGCCGTAGGGTAGGAATGATTTGCGTTTAGAACTCTCTAGGGGCTTAACCGAACGCTACCATGGGTTTTATTACCGCTACCCCGCACTCACTTTTCACGACAAGGTGAGCAGAATGGTCATGGATGAGTCTTTTCTTCTTCCTTCGCATCGGTGAATCTCTCAGCAAAGTGTGATTTGAAAAGACAATTGGGGCCTTATATGAACCGTTCACATATGCCCCTGTACATTCAGTCAAGAGTAAATATGCGGAAAATCAAATCCTTCACGGTTTTCATGGGGTTGGAAAATGGTGGTTTGTAGAAAATTGTAAGGTGTCTACAGCACGATGTGCCATGGTCTATTAGAAGCTTGGTCGAAGCCATGTTTAAAATCCACTGAGAAATGCTCCTCTCCCCGGCAACGCGTCTGCATATGCGGGAGGGTCACATATGAAAAAAAAACCTGGCTTGTGATTGGGAAATACTGTATGCTTCGGGATCAATAGCTTCTGATACTCAAGCTAAAGCGTCAACCAGATGTTAAAAAATGTGATGATCGAAGTCAACTCGAAAATGAGATTAACCGCATCTTTTCGTGGGAAAAGCCGGAATTCTAAAGATTATGGGGGTTGGTATTCGCTAGAAAAAGAAAACGTCTCTTAGAAGCTACTGGTGAACTCATGTTGATCAAATGTTCATTCAAGAAACAACGTACAATCAAAAATCTTGTACAGATTTCCGCAAGACTTTCTGGGCAACTCAATAATTTACCAGGACCAAGCTTTGTGCAAGAAATTGCTAGCGGAAAAGTGGGGCCACCACGACACGTACGATGGCGCTCAAAGGCATCCTGCCGCACATTTTTCTGCCAGTGACTTTTTTTATTGGATCGGAATGATTCAAGTTTTGTATAGCTTGCACCGTATATGGCAGAAATTTCTCACTGCTTGCATATAAGCCTAGCGATTTTGTTCATTGAATTCCATATAAGCCAGATTCCATGTCAGTGAAAAATACAGGAAGCGTAGTAGACCCTTTAAAAGATTTTGTTCATTGAATTCCATATAAGCCAGATTCCATGTCAGTGAAAAATACAGGAAGCGTAGTAGACCCTTTACAAACCATTTTATGACAATATAGCAATATCAGGAACTACATCCATAGGTGGTGGAGAAGCTGTACTTCTCGATGGAAGCAGCTAACAAGCCAGAATGGAAAGACTGCACAATCAAAAATCTTAGACAAAGTGTCGCAGGATTTTCTGGACAACCCAATATATTGCAGTGTAGCCCACTGATTTCCCCATTGATGGGACTCTCATAAGTACTGTCCTCTTCGTCTGAACTGATGATGACTCTGCTAGAGCGGCTCCGTTAGGTAAATTCTCCTGCTTCCATCAGGTAAATTTCCCTCTGCTAGAGCGGCTAGGGTCATACGGCGATGGGTCAGCTATAGGGCTTGCAGCGAGTGAGCGGCGCGGGTGCGGCCCCGCTTATGGTGGGAGTAAACTTTTCGCGGCGATACTCGCATCGTCCCGCACTCTTAAGTGACCCGACTGGCTCCAACTAAATTTTTTTTTCTCATTTTCAACTCGACCTATCGTGAAATCCTCCTTAGGGCAAGCTTTGGAACCAACGATGTGACAGTCTTTGTGAGTGTCGACAAAAGCAGAAGAGCAACTAGGATCAGGGTCAACCGTTACGTTGGACCGATATTGGAGCGACGTTGGACCGATGTTCACCGCTCTCCGCGCCGGCATTCACTCTCGCCACCCGCGAGCCGTCTGTGTCTCCGTGCGTACGTTCACTCTCGGCATTACTCTCGTCGTCGCGTTGGACTTTGTCCAACGGACGGTTGACCCTGCCCTAGGATTCCACACGTCTTGCTCGTGACGTCGATCTCTAGGTATCCTTTCTACGTGGGATATACCGAGGGACCCTCTTTCTAAATAAGAATCAGTGTAGCATAGCGCTGTCTACTAGCGAACTCTTCCTTCTTGTTTCTGCTCAGTTTAATTGAACACATCTCTGAAGCCCTTTCTCATTCAATTCAACAAAATTTTTATCTAGAGACTTGCTTTGTCACTTAAGAAGCGTTGTTATCGTTTTTGCTTCCCTTGAGGTGTGTTTCAGTAACTGTTGCAATTAAAATGAATGCCCTACCTTTTCTAAATGCTGCCGCCATAAATCAAGGAAATGAGGCTTCAGGCCATATTCGGCATAACGAGCATGTATCACGCCCAATTGGTAGGCCGCCTCCGATACAACTGCACTGTCGAGTTTGTACTCATGAATAATCCGTTCGAAAAAGTCGAATTGTGCTTGGCTGAAAAACAGGTTTTCTTCTTAATAGTCGTTATGTGGTCATGTAAAGTCGCTCATACTTTGACAGCAGTGTTTCCAGTATAGGACTTATAAGTTGAGTCAATTTAGGCTAACAATAAGCTAACTCATTGAGAATACGTAATGTGGCTTGCGGAACTTCAATTCCACAAATGGCAAGTAGGTCACCGATGCCATTACCGGCTCCTTCAGTTCTGCTCATTGGTCTGAACTTTATATCAAGGTGGTACTATGTAGTATGCAGTAGTGTTTTACGCCTATCCAAGTGGTCCCACTTCTCGTACCTGCGGATCAATGCTACAACGTTCGTAAGAGCCCAGGCGCAACCGCGAAGCCCGTCAAGTGCGAACAGCATGTAAGGATTCCCCATTCAAAGACATGGGGACAATTCCATTCTTCTACTCCATTCTAGTCCACAAGGAACGTAAGAAAA